ATTCAATTATTGGCTATATATGTACTGTCAACAGGTACAGGTACATGCGCGCTGTTCAAAGCGTTCGTCGCCGTACGTTGGCAGGGCCATCCTGTTTCGACAACAGGAACAAAGTACGACGTTTGCTACACGTCGTGGGGGGACCCCCGGGACATCGTGAAGACAAACTCACCCTTCACTTACTCCACGAATTTCTCCACGACCACGGCAATTTACTACCCGCACTTTGCTACCGATGGATACGCTTGCGTCGCCCCCGCATACTTCGTTACTCAATACTTATCGAACAGCTTCACGCAGATAGACCTGGAACAGATAACTCGAGTACAGAAAGTGATTGCAGCCACGGCCTGGACACGTCACATTATTGACATGGACGTCATCCTCAGCAACACGAGTGACTTTAACCTCGGTCAGAAAATAGGACGAGTTGTCGGAGACACGCCGGCGTGGTCGACGTACACCATCGTCACCAACAGCAGCGCGGCGGGACGGTACATCACCTTTTTCCAGACAGCCGTTAATCACCATGGCTACGCCGATATACAGGTTATTCCTCAGCCTTAAGTCTATCTAAGAGAAGCCATATGACAAGACGATAATTTGTCTGCTTAATTAGCAGCGACTTACGTCTGAAATTACGCACCCTGAAATATACGTTCAGTACCTACTTTTGAACACATGCAGCCAAAAAAATGCCGTTGAAAATTTTCAACATTTTTCAAAAATGATTGTTGATTCTGGATGTTGATACGGAAAAAGAATCTTTAATTATGTTGAGTATATTCTATAACCTACATACGACATGTCAGAATCTGTTATGTAGAAATTGACAAACAACCTGTCGCTTGTTTAAATCTCACCCAACCAATAAACAACCTCCTCATAGAATAAGATAAAATGTAAAATCAGCAATCCGTCATAGCCTGGTTAGGCATAATATCCACAAAATTAATATTACTCATTGACACGTTATAGAATTTAAATTATTATATATTCTGGCACAGTGCATTAACAGGTATTGTGATATATGTTCTTGGTTATTTATTTTGTGATATTTTTTCATCATTATGAATCATACCTGATGTTTGATTATCATATCATAAGATTTATATTAAATACTTTATTCCAATAAATGTTATAACAATGTTGTGTCAGATGTTAGCCTGTAGTACCTCGAGCAGTGGTGTCATTTAGGGGGGCTTCAGCCCCATGAAATATTTATAAGCCCTTAAATAATTGTATGCTCTTTAACTAAAATTTAAATTTTTTCGCTAATAGAAGCTCACAAATTTAGTGTAATGTGGCTTGAATATGTTGTTAATGATGTTCACATACATGCAGTTACTGCCTGTGTTCGTTGTTGTACTCAGAGGTGGGTAGTAGCGCGCTACATGTAGCGGCCGCTACATTTTCAGGAGCGATAGCGGCGCTGCATTTAAGCAATTGTAGCGGTAGCGGTAGCGCCCGCTACATTTAGAGCATGTCGCGGTAGCGGTAACGGCCGCTACATTTCAAAGTAGCGCTGCCCAGCTCTGTACATATGCATCCTTCTTCTCAATGTCGCACCGTCATAACTCCAGTAGATGATTGAAACTTTCTCGTATACTAAAATAATCAGATACTAAAAGATACGATACTAAAATAATTACTAAATAATAATTACTTATTATTACTTACTTAGTAATTACTTTCAGATACTAAAATAATTACTAAAGTCCCATTGTTGCTCCCTCTCTTAAGGCTGACTGTGACTTAATCTTTACATGTAGATTAGATGAAATGAGGCTGAATGCCCATCGAAGAATAAACAAAAATGCGAATTTATAACGAGCCAAATTTAATGAATTCTCAAACCCAGATTATTACCCTACCATTAGAGATAAAAAATTTTTAGGCTTAAGAAGCCAAGTCTTTATTATTGATTAGGCCTTTAAATTAGCAGCTGTCACAAGTTTGAAAACAGATTGGAAAATACTTTGGTCTTAAGCCGGAAAAATAACTGTTGGCTAATCTCTCGGAATTTTAAATATTCAGGTTGGTTAGAAGTAGTAAAATTTTTAGGCTCATCACAAGTGAGTTTGGAGTTACTGCTCATTTATGGAAACCCTGTCTGAGGAATTTTATTCAGGGGAAACCCACTGAATAACATTTTTTATTCCTGTATACATGAAATAGTGCTAATAGATACTGTGTAGATTTAATCGTCTTTTGATTATACTTTTATTATTAAATTTGGAATTGATGATTGAGCGTTTTCAATGAAAATCTGATTAATTGTCCTGGTGTTTTTATTTGCCGTCAAATTTCTCATTAAATTTGAATTTAAGCAATAAAATGGTTCTAAGAGTCTACATATACATATATGATTTAATTGTTACTACTTCTAACGGCAAGGCTTCCCATCTTTGCTATCACGGGTGACGAAGGCGTTATCAACGAATTGATAGCAACTGATAACATTTTTAAGATTGTCATCAATAAAATTTTTTAGATTTTTTACGACATTTACATAATATATTTTATTTGCATCAATTGTAGTTAGAAACACCTCCGGACATGTTTTTGCTGCGCTGATGCTGATTATGTACACTTTTATATTGGCAAATTTTGTGAATTTTTAAATAGTTTGTTTACTGTTCAAGCTTAAGTTAGGCGTTCAAGTTTTATGGGAGCAAAATTAAATTTAAGTTGAATTAATTATATAGTTTTACACTTGCAACAGTTTTTTTTTCTAAAATTATAAATTATATAATTTTACACTTGCAACAGTTTTTTTTTCTCAAAATGTTGGCTAGTTTCTTCGTTCCATTTTTGTGAGAGATTAAATATGATTAAAAAATGCTTCCGTTTGAGCTGGATGAAGGGAGCCAAAAAATAAGCTAAAATATAAATAAATGTTTTCATTTCTAGATTTCAAAATCCACGATAACTTTTGCCCAGCACTAAACATTTCAACTAAAGCGAGCTTTTAAACAGCTGTAGAAACAGACTCTAAATCTCAACAATCAACATCGATGTAATTAGGATGAGATCAGTTTTACCCTCGAGACTAATTTTCTTTGATTCAACAGCGAGTGGAGCTATTTTTTAGTGCAGATTGGAATGCAGTTATTTCTATTCTGCTGGTAATGTAATTTTCTAGTAAAAGTGCGTTTGGATAAAAGCTTATAGTGTCCCCACGATTCATTTTATTCAAATAAAAGACGGAACGGCTAGATACACTTTCAGGAACTACACATTCAAGTACAGCTTGCAGCCCTCATGATAATCTTTCAAGATACTCATGTATATTCGAATAAAATTCAATAAGGGAGTCTTTGGAGCATACTAATTAACGAGCTACCTAATAGAATGTCGGCTCAATATATGCAAATGAAAAGCTAGAGGATATTTGAGAAGCAGAAATGTTGTGCGTAATGCTGATAGATTTCAGATATTCAACACGTTATTCATGTTAATTGGCTTCATCATGCAGAAGACATAAATTTATTAATGATACATTTTCCATATATATAAAGCGATTCGGGCTTGATGAAAAAATGAATGCGAAAAAAAGAAAATACGAATATATTTATTTGTGTGAATTCGTCATGATGGTCCCTGCAAAACTGCAATTAGGAACTGCACAATACACGTTAAAAAAATATAACTCAGTACTCACTGCAGTGAGTGACAGCGAGCGCATTTTCTCGTCGACGAAAACTTGAGGTCACGGACGGACGGAGAGATGGACAGACAGACAGACGGACATGGTGAGCACAATAGTGAATTTTTTCCATATATGAGAAAATGCGCTAAAAAGGCCAGTGCTTCTAAAAATACGAAGGACATATTCTATCAATTAATGTAGACGTGTTGTGAATAAAGCTGTAGTTGGGAACCTCTAACACGTACTGGCCACAACAGAAAGTCTACTGTACATTGAGCTGGTGCTTGACAAGTTATATATTTTGTAACAGAGAAAGAATATGAATCGAATATTTAAATGAAAAAAAAATCTGCAAGCACAAGTTCTTCGTAGTTTACACGAATCATCTTCAATACAATCAATTAATTTGTCAGCACATATAGTAAACTGTAAACTTAACAACAGATCATCATAACTGCTACGGAAAACTATCGTAGGTAGGATGCCGTAACAATGTGACGCACATCTTGCTTCACTATAACGTAACTGGTTGAGGATCCTGGTACTGTTGGGGTTATCCGTCTCTAAGCTTATCCTTCTGGGAGATGAATATCCTTTAACGTGATTAAAGAATATTTTTAATTGTTAGCCAGGCAGATGAATAACAAGTACCTAATAGATCATTTGAGTGGGTGGGTTCAGCCAGCTAATTGTAATGAGGTAGTTGGTCTAGGTTGTACTGTTAGTTCCAGACCCAATGGCGATCAAAAAATCTTACTGCGTTAGGAGTTTGTGCAGTACCGACGAAATCATAAAAACACTCATCCATTTGTTAGGTTTACCTAGCTTAACACGATCGTACTCGTTATAATAAATAGTGATAACTCAGCATAAAATGTCTCGCAACCTCTTACGTCCGATACTCTCCTCATTCTCCTCTCGCTCGACTCTTCTTTTTTACCCTATAAATGCCGCAAACCTTTCCGCGATATAGTTGCTGAACTCCATTAAAATTTATTAATTATGATGCGAATGTTTTGCCGCGAGTAAATGAATGATAAATCATGAAAATTATAAATTTAACATTCCCATAAATAACTAATCTTAATTATTATGCGGATTCACAACGTAATACTATAAGAAAGCATGGCTGCGATTATGACTCTACTTAGTTATGTTTTGAGGTATGGTCACAGTGAAAACTAGAGTGAACACAGCATAGTCAGGAGATATTACCGTTTTCACTCTGCAGAGTCATACTCAAAATCTTAACTTGGTAGAATCATCATTAATTTTTTAGATGAGAAGAGAAAACGATAACCAATTCACTCGCCTCTCTACCGGATTTTACTTAAAGTTCAGTGGATTACTAAACATTGAAGTAATCCGCAGCGTTGTCGGTGTCGGCTTCAGGCAGCTTCTGGTGCCTGACTTTGAACTTCGAGAAGATGAGAGCGAAGACTTCGACGTATGGCGCGCAAGTGGCCAGGGGCCATACTTTCAAAACTCGCTAAGTGAACGTAAGTACTTACGCTCTATTTTCTTGTCTATGATTGGTGGATTTTGCTTAAAAGGCCGTCAATGATTGGCTGATGAACTTACGATCTCTTAACTTTTTTTGAAAGTATGGGCCCTGAAGTAGAGTCTCTGTGAACATTCTTAATGTGCCGCAGTTGATTTTACAGCACCGAAGACAAGGCCCAACTAACCAAATTTGCTGGAATGAAGAAAAACGTGCACACAAATGAAAAATATACATATAACTCAGTACTCACTGCAGTGAGTGACAGAGAGCGCATTTTCTCGTCGACGAAAACTTGAGGTCACGGACGGACGGATGGACAGACGGACGGACAGAAAGACAGACAGACGGACATGGCGAGCACAATAGTGCATTTTTCCCATAAATGAGAAAATGCGCTAAAAATGAAAAAATCGGAATAAAAAGGAAAATCGAACATACAATTTCAATGGTACAAGCACTGAGTATACAGGATATTAAGTATTATTTGAACATTGATGGATGACCATCGAACGTATGTTCAAAATTCGCACGTTTTCAGCATAACCTTTAACATCTATAAAAATGTGTAACAGTTGAAGAAGGTGGCTAACTGAGCGTGGCTAACTGCGCTTATGTCCAGCTATTGTAATAATTTTAATAGCTTTCTATCATCTACAATCGTGGTTGCTTAGCACCGTAGTTAAAATTAGAGCCGCGAAAATAATTTTTCCTGTTGATATACGTATGATTATCGAAAAAAGATTAGATATTGTTCTTAAAATCTCCAAATGTATTTACGAATAAGGAAAAAATCTATTCAAATGATACGAAGGCTTGAGTGACTGAGTAAACAAACTTTAGTTGCGAATTATCATGTGGGAATCATGGTGGTTAATGTTGGTCTATATCATATAATCGATTATTATTTAACTTTGAGTGAATATATTTCAATATTCATTCAAAAGGAAGATTGTGAAACTCTCGGGGCAGTTTGCCCTCTTTACGCTTAAGCTGAAGGCATGCGAAATCGAAATCTTAATTTGACAGAGTCATATTCACAGCCATAATTCTGTTGTGAATCTGTTGTAGTTGTGAACTTTTAAAGTGAATCTGTGGGGTAGGAGCCAGTCATTACCCACACAGTAAACCAACAGGATTGTAAATGAAAGAGAATGAAACTGAGATTTTACTGCAAGGCAAATTAACAACAAGGTGGGCTTTGAATATAAGTATTAAGATGGAAAAATAGTGTAAAGAATAATACCCTTGGCAACGTGCGTATCTGCAGCGGGGATCAGCCGAACGATAATGACTAATGAAAAAATTCTGTGCGCGACGTTAACTTCCTAACGGTGTTGCCCAGGTAAAGGTAAATTATAATTGTATTACAAAATGAAAGTCACATAATGTCTAACTCTACAAATCCAAGGTTACAATTGTCACAGATTTTAACTTACGCAGAAGGAGAGGATCGCGAAGAGTAAACCGTTGATAAGCGCGATGAGCGGTCCTAAGAGGACGACCAGCAGGATGTAGCAAAACGTGCGTGACACGTTGTAAGTTATCCGCGAACAGGTCCAAAATATGTCGAGGGATTTCAGTCCTTCGGGCTCGCCCACAATATCGTTCCACATCACCTACAATGAAACGCAACAAATATATTCACAATTTACATTGAAAGATTTTTTGACACTACAACGGTACGTTGCATTGAATGCTGCCAAACAACGGTGTTGTGAGACACCCACTTATAAGTTATAATTAGACGTATCCATAATGTCAAGCGCAAACAAAGTAAGGAGATGAAAATTAAAAAAATTCAACAAATGTGAACACTCGATCTAAGGATGAGTGTCAAACTTGAAAATATTTCTGTTATAGGATTTTGAGACGGCAAACCACGAACGCAAAGTACAATAAATTTTCAATGCGATCTCGATTATAAAATATTGTATAATAACAGGGCTACCACCCACTTCACCCACTACACAAAAACCGTTGATGATCGAAAAGCTTTGGTAGTACTCGTCTCTTGGAGGACAGAAACAAGGCTCTAGTGATTCATGACCGTAAACTCAGACGCTTTACATATATTACAGTGTACACTAGATATCTTTACTCGACTTCGACTACTAGATTAACTGTCGTATTCAATATTCCACCATAATGAAACGTATTGCAATCCAGAACCGCTGTTTACTTCTCAAGTATGACTATTAATCAAGAGAAAAATAATTTCGTACAAGTTAAGAAAATTAAACATGAGCTTAGAAAAATTCAGAAAAGCCAAAAAAATTGTGTTTTATAAAAACAAGTAATTATTATATGGTATGGCGCTCATAACACCTCTGTGGAGGACATCAGACCTTAAGGTGGGGGTTAAGGTTTTTCGGGTCGCGATTCGTCTCGTCATCGCTTCCCATCACCTTCCTTACGCTACTGAAAATCCTGTTGCTCGCCGTTCTTCCATTTGTGTCGTTTATTGGCCCTGTGAGGGTGAAAATTTTTGTCTAATTAAGTGATAGTCAGTAAAGCAAAATGTAGTTGATAGAATTTGAGAGTTGATCCATGTGTAGAGGAAAATGGTTAGGTAAAGATCCGAGGTTTGGTGTTGACAATCAGTTGTAAAATTTTCAGGTTTAATTAATTTAGAAACATAGACTAAAATATTAACTCCTAAAATATTATGTTGTGTTAGAAATGCCCTACAAGCTGTGAAATTCTGCATTTGATTATTCTAATGATGGATAAAGTGGATAAAGAGCCTTGAGACCTCGGTCAGGTATGGCTGAATCCTGCTGATATCTTCACATAGTTGATTCACCGTTATGCCACTCAAAACTAAGATATCAGTCTGAATTTTTGCTCGCTTTCCCAGCTACTTATTTTAAATTTTTAGACAGTAACAAAAATATAAAACTTTTAATAAAAACTGTTATCATGAAGGAAATATTTATATATTATTGCGCATGAATTGTGCTACAGAAATGCTTTTTATGTGAATAATGTTTTTAAATCTATTCTCCACTGATTGCTGCTCACCTGGTTATAGATTTTGTCACCAAAATTTAGTGTGAAAAGTGTATGTTCACTTGTGGAGTGCAAATAGTATATCTAACTATGCGAAGCTAAAATCTTCACAAATATCTATCTATTAAATCGAGATATTTTTTAAAATCATTGGCATGGTATATAGTCAAGACAAGTGTTTCCAGCAGGTATCGTGACGTGTTCCCCACTCTAACCTCGCATATACCAGATTATACCGGCAGCACATAAGCACATGTTGGACTAGATTTCATTATAGTTTAAATATCCACATGAGCAAATAAAAACTATGTGTATTATTTTTTTTAAATTTTGTACCCTTATTGTCAAGTTTTTCATAATTATTTCACTTATTGCTTTATTGTTCAATAGTTTTGGTCGTTTTTCCATCATTCGCTCATTCCAGCAAACTCACCTTCACTCATCGTGCTGGGAAACTGTAGGAGTTTAAATTAAAAAATGTTTATGATCAACAATAATTTTTGTAACTTAAAGCGAAATCCTGCAACAGGTGTTCAGAAATTATTACAAATAAATAAATGCAGTGTAAATATTTCTTATTGCACTCTCATATGTATTTAAGTGCTAAAAGGCCATTGTTTCATAACAGTACTACATGTTACAAATTTATTTGCGAACGTAATTAATCTATGGAATGTCTGTTGAATTTGTTGATTGATTTTTTCTTCAGCATTTTTCCGTAAATATACGAGTATAAAGGGTAATTCGGGCGTGAATGCATAACATTCAATTTACGGATCTAAAATTTTAATCAGTGGGAGAATTGTGATATATAGCAAAACTAGGAAGCAGGATGGACCTAACTTTGAAGTTCGGTTTCTAATTTGTTATGTGCTATTCCAATTCAAAGGATAGAAAATAATTTTGTTTTTCAAACTTTTAAAACGGGTATCACATGAGAGTTTGACGTTATAATCACGGGTTTGAACGTTTGCATCTATTGAACATATATTACAGGTCTGAAGGGATTCGGGATGACGGAATTAGGTGATATAGCAGTGTAGCCTCGAATTGCAGCAACGAAAGCTCGATACGTGCATTAGTTTGATTCCATTTCTTCACAAGGTAAAATTTTTAATTAACTTGCATAATCTTTGTATTCCGATATCTTCCCAAGAATTCGGTTGTGTGACATAATTTACTACAAAATACGTTTTGTAATCCTGCTAAAATATCTTGATGATTTTAAGAAATGTGCTCAGTAATTTAAATTTTAAACGAGTATATTTTTTTATTAAAGCAGAAGTACTTTGTGTCGGCGTAAAATCTAAATTTATTATATAAAAATTTATTATTGCATGACGAAGTCACTTAATATGAATTCAATTTTTGAACATTTTCTATTCCACCTTTATGTTATTTTCAACAATTGCTGAGTTGACGTATGGGCAAAACTAACCTCATACAAAATATATCTACGTCGTCATTCATATTTATTATTTGATGCGATTTAATAGGCTCATTTCTCGTAAAGCATTAAATTTTGAATATAGTTATCGTGTATTTTGATAACAATTATCACTCATAAGTATATATCTTATATCTATTTTTTGCGATTTGCCCAGTACGCACGTATGTACATTTCAGGCCTATTCGAGTTCAACGCATGTGTAACACTAAAATTAACTCAATCAAACAATTTAAATACAACTTAAAAAAAAAAGTAAATCTCGATTTTAATACTTATACCAAGCATCTTATGCGTCTATATTGTAAATTCACAGTTTATAGCACTCTTTATAACACGTATCAAAAACCGATCATGCTGCTTCATTTGTCAAACTAGAAGCTCTTTGGCGCGTCGAAAAATGTGTCAAAAGTTTATTCTCTACATCAAATAATGAAATCATAGAAATGATTTCATTATTTCTTTCATTTCATTATTATTATTTCATTATTATTTTTCATTATTTCTATGATTTTTTTTCATGTATCAATTGGTACACAAATACCAATTAATTTTCTGCACTGTTTGGTTCATATCGGCCCACTTGGGCGCTTCAAAAGAGGCGTATCAATGCTACGAGCCGAAAGCTAATCACCATTTGGATAACATTGCCTGTTCACGTTTTAGCGCATTTTCTCATTTGTGGAAAAAATGTCCATCTGTCCGTCCGTCTGTCCGTCCGTGACGTCACGTTTTCGTCGGCGAGAAAATGTGCTCTCTGTCACTCACTGCAGTGAGTACTGAGTTACATTTTTACCGCATTTTCTTATTTATGGAAAAAATGCACTGTTGTGCTCGCCATGTCCGTCCGTCCGTCCGTCCGTCTGTCCGTCCGTCTGTCCGTCCGTCTGTCTGTCCGTTCGTCTGTCCGTTTGTGACTTCACATTTTCGTCGACGAGAAAATGCGCTCTCTGTCACTCACTGCAGTGAGTACATGAGTTATATTTTTTGAGTTTGCGAATGCCGGTAATGTGGTGACAGTTGATATGACTGAGCATAACCGACGCGAGGGGGAAGCCGAACTGAGGTAGATAACCAGAGGCGAGAACATCGCCGAGATCATATCAGTTGCAATCAGTTCGCTGATAACGCCTTCGCCGGCTGCATGTCAGTCATTCACAGAAAAAAAATAAAAGTATTTGAAGATGAAAAGCCCTTGAAAAGAAACATAAGTGACAGGACAATACAAATAACTATTGAAATTAGGAGTGCGTCATTGCTTAAATTGCATATAAAGAAGGAATTCGAAAGTGAAGAAAATACTACAAAAATTCATTTTACTCGTATCTTCGTTGAGAATGTTACAGAGCTCAGCTTATTCATCGGTTCAGAACTAAAGAAAATAACTTATAATTATACGGACGACTAAACATACACTGTGGAGATTTGAACCTAAAATGAGATAAATACGGCAAGGTAAGTTAAAAGAAAATCTATACTAAAAACTTAAAGCAAATGAAAAGAATAAGCTTTATAATAATAATAATAATAATAAAAATAATAATAATATTAATAATATAACAACAATGATAATAATAATATTAATATTAATAGCGGTTTCAGCGTTTAGTAGGCCGTAGGCCTGTCGCCGATTCTTAACATCGCAGAACATTCACAGCATTTTGCGGTCTCGAACTCGCAACTCACTGCTACAATTCAGCTGTGCTTAACCGCCCCTCTCTGCTCCAATCTTTGGTACTCTGAATTGTAACCACTGGGCCACTCAGCTAGGTCATTATTTTGACTAAATGTACCGGAACTTAGAACTCACTTCGTATGAACATAAAAAACTAAGACTACTAAATGTAGAATTTCTAGGCAACATTCAAGATTAACTTGCAGGCATTCTCACGGCTCTGATCTTACAAGTTTTTCTCATCGGTTTATTGGACCTATTGAATATCAGTCTATCGAAAGGCCTAGCCAAGAACAGCGACTAGGTTTATTTTTGAAAACAAAAGCTACTCAAAACTAATATTACAACAGCTATTCAGGTACGCCTCAACTCTTTACTTAGAGATGTAAATGATATTATTTTTGCTCTGAACCGCAGCATTTCCAAACTGTTCTGGAATTGCGTTTCTTAAAATTTTTCTAATTAAACGTTCCCTCACATCGTCTGCACTGTACATCTCCGTGGTATATTAGCCTCTTCTGTTCTCAAAACCTCTCGGTATCATCAGCAGTGATGCATCAGTCGTGATGCATTAGTCGGTATCATCAGTCGTGATGCATCAGTCGGTATCATCAGTCGTGCTGCATCAGTTGGTATCATCTGTCATGATGCATCAGTTGGTATCATCAGTCGTGGTGCATCAGTCGGTATCATCAGTCGTGATGCATCAGTCGGTCATCAGTTGGTATCATCAGTCGTGATGCATGAGGGTATCATCAGTCGTGATGCATCAGTCAGTATCATCAGTCGTGATGCATGAGGGTATCATCAGTCGTGATGCATCAGTTGGTATCATCAGTCGTGATGCATCAGTCGGTATCATCAGTCGTTATCATCAGTCGGTATCATCAGTCATGGTGCATCAGTCGGTATCATCAGTCATGGTGCATCAGTGGGTATCGCTAATTCCATCGACACACGTAGCGGACCACACATTTCTATATATGCGTCAATGGACCACACATTACCATATGTGTCAATGGACCACACATTTCCATAAATTTATCAGGCCCTTGTCTATCACTTGCAATACGTATTTCATGAATTTTATATCCGTTTCTACTTATTATTCTTTGCTCAACAATTATTTTTCTTGATTTTACATACATTTTTCATTTAAATTTCATACATTATTGGAATTTATAGGGCAGACTATGTAACCAAACTAAAGACAAACAGTAAATATTATTGGGAATAAATATGATATTTATTATTCGATATGTAGCGTCACTTCAACGCTTATTTTGACGCAAGAAAACCAAGACAATTTTTGTTTCTAAAATAATTTTTTATTCTGGATGTATTTAGTCGCACCATCAAGTAAAATATTATTTTTTAGAGAAAGGTCGTCTGGATGACACGAGCACAATTTTTTCCTGATCCATTGCTGGAATAAGAACATATGTGAGTAGCAATTATAGTGCTGGGCCTATACTTTCAAACTCGCTGAGTGAACGTAAGTACTTACGCTCTATTTTCTTGTCTATGATTGGTGGCTTTTGCTTGAAATGCCGTCAATGATTGGCTGATGAACTTACGATCTCTTAACTTTTTTTGAAAGTATAGGCCCTGGCCATGTTATTGGGTCGTTAACCTACTAACCTACTCATGTATGGGGTTCGCCAATTATTAACATCAGCCTGAAAAAATTGGATTCGAATTGTCGGGTCAACTCGAAGAGTGCCTATTATTTTTAATTGGATATTGATCAGCCAGGCATTGGTAGTGATCTTGCAATGAAAACTCAACTCGATGAAACACGAAGAGCTTACTCATATGAAAATCCCAATAATGCGTAAGTACTAGGACTAGCATCACTGATAAAAAAATATAACTATAACTCAGTACTCAATGCAGTGAGTGACAGAGAGCGCATTTTCTCGTCGACGAAAACTTGATGTCACGGACGGACGGACAGACGGACAGACAGACAGACAGACAGACAGACAGACGGACATGGCGAGTACAATAGTGCATTTATTTCATAAATGAGAAAATGCGCTAAAAATAGGTCATTATATGTTCACAAAAACTACAAAACTGAATCAATATTCTGACGAAGATGCAAATAAATTGTTATAACAATTGTAGAACTTCTTTTCTGTTGTAAAACTATACGTAAATTCAACGTACGCGGAATGGGAAAATGATTACGCTTTCTGTAGTCTTACTGATGTGAACATTAAGGTTTTCGGGACAAGCTTTTTTCTTTAAAGATTATTGACTTTATGACTTTTGGGCAAACACTGGGCAGGGTGGCCCAGTGGTTACAGTTCAGAGTACAGAGATTGGAGCAGAGAGGCGCGGGT